CTTCTACTTTGTCCAAATCTGTTTTCTCCTGTACATATCAAAATACTGTTTCATCTCTCATACATTCCTGAATATATCTAGTTGTTGGCTCAGATTCCATGCAGCTAAAATAGAATCTTTTTCTTCAAGACTTTCTCAATTTTTTCTGTTTTGCTGAAAAAAGCAAAGACCTGTCAATCACATCTATCACCTAGCCATCACAGAAATCAGTATGAACAATTAAAGCTAAATAGTCATTTAGACTTAATGGTTAATGAAGATTAATAGTTTTAAGTCTTTTTAGACTTTTCCCTAGATCTTTATTTCCAGAATGTGTCTAAATATTGTGAAATATCTCTTGGTTGAAACCTTTTCTATCCTTTCTGTCTGTTTCAGCTGGTTCCTGCCATTGGTCATTTCAGTTAGCATATCATCCCTCTCACAGGACCTGAGACAGTTAATTTTTCTCTTTCAATACATTCAAAATGGTTCTGTAAAGATCTTTTTTATAGTTTGGCACTTTGACCAATTCAATCCATCCCTCTCTCTCTTCTGAATTTTCTTTCCCTCTTTCTTGCACTGAATCCCGACTCCTGCTTTCACATTCAAGGAAGAGCCTTTCATGGCTTATCTTAGCCATTTTCATTCTGTTAAATGCAGTTCTTTAATTTTTATGTCAAGCCCTTATGTTCTTTTCCTCTTTGTGGTTTTCTTTATTTTTTTTTTTAACTCACATTTGGGAAAGTATCCTTGTAAACATCTGCTGCAATCCTAACTCATTGTTTTCCTTTCAACCTTTTTCTGGATGCCCTCAAAATACTTCCCAACTGTCTGGCTGCAAGTGCTGAGCCACCTTCCTGCAAGGCTGACCAGTGTGCCTTATTGTTTCCTCATTTTCCTATAGTAAAACTCTGACTTTGAAAATTTTGCCTAATGCTGAATTCAGTTGTTCAAAGCAGTCAAAAATTCATAAAACAATACATCCACTGTTTAAAGAAAGCAGAATGAAAATGGGAAAAAAAACCTCATTCACATGACAAAAATCTTAATAAAGCTCAACTCCTATGTGAAGACTGGGCTAGACTGAAAAAAAAAAAATGAACCAAAATCAATATTACAGAAAAGGAGTTAAATTTTGAATTAAATAGTCTTGGATATTATAGTCCATCTGTAGCCCTACTTCTCAAAGCTTTAAAAGAAAATCTTTTCCTCTCAAATGGCCTCAGTAGTGAGTCTGAGGAAAAAAAGGAAAAAAAAAGAACCGAAAAGGCGCTGTTACTGTTTATGTTATTGTTATCACAACTGTCATCAAAACACTTCCATTAAGCACTCATGATCAGCAGGATGTGCCCACAAAGGATACCTGATCATTAGCTCACAGAGTTACAAACACAGAAAAAGAGATCTATATCCTTTTTCATTCCTTCAGCACATTTCTGTGTTTTCCTCAGATTCTGGTTGATGTCACTCCTTCTCTTGCTCTCTTCCTTTCTGTTTTTCAATCCTGAGAGCAATGAGAATGGCAGCAAAAGCAGAACAGCCCAGATGTTTCAGTACAACCTCAGCAAGAGCAGTGAAGGAGATGGACCTGGTCAGATCAGTCACACAATATCCTGGGGTATGTAGTGAGAACAGAGAACAGAAACAGGGTATTAGAACTGACTGGTTCTCCTGAAAACTTCTAGAGGATCTACTTCACTCAGCTTTCACCCTTTCATTTTTATTTTCACTTGTGTATTTTTAAAACAGGAAAATAGGACTTAGCACACTGATTATCTCAACATTCACCAGCAGAGGTAGCGCTGTGTTCTGCACCCTGGCAGAATGAGGCTACAGCGAGCTTGCTGCAGATACCTCAGAGAGCAACTGGTGACCTGCAAGCCAAGTCATGCCAGGTGCCTCATGTCCACCAGCTCAAAGGTAGCTTCCTCCAGAGTGGACTGGTCTTGTACACAGAACAAAGCACTCAGCCTGAATTTCCTGTAAGTCTTTTTCGTTATACCTTGGAAATAAGCAGTGAAAAAGGCAATTATAGTCTTCTTTTGTTTTGTGTGGGGTTGGATTACTTTTCATTATATGAATGTTTTGGTTTTGTTTTGTGTTATTTTCTGCCTCAGAGAGCCAGAAGATAAAAAAGGCCTTATTGACCTGATGATTCCTAAAATGTGAATCAAGATGAGTTTAGGCCTTTTTTAAACATTTCCTGCTCACTAGTGACTGGATTATGCTAACATTCCTGATTTTCTGAACCCATCCATCCCTTTAAGGAGTACCAGTGGGTATTATTTGCCATTCCATGGTCCTAGTCTATAGATTACAGGTCTTTGAGGCATAGATTTTCACTTATGATCATAATTGCCTTACCACGGAGGTCCTGTACCACTGTACTGATGGCTGTTGCAAATAACAGTTAACGTATCTGGTCTTTTTTATCCTGCTGGCCCTGGGAACAAGTTTCAATTACAACCAGGGCCTGTGTGTTTTGTTCTTCGCAAACAGCCCCAAACCTCACCACAGAGAGTGCATGCCTTCCTCCCTGATGGAAAGGTCCCTCCATCCCTACCCAGCAGGCAAAGGTAGACATACAAAGCCAGGACTACAAAGGAACCAGCTGAAGTAACTCTCTCGAGCTAAGAAGCCCCAGGTTAAGGAACAGGTGTTTCCAAAAATTAGGAATCTGGGAATGGAAGAAGAGGTGAGCTCATTTCCATGAACAGAGCTTGCCCCAGGCAGTCCTGTAACTCACTGTAGTAGGCTTTCTCAGGGACTAGCCATCTGTCTAAGGCTGACCTATACACTGAATAAGCCATTTCTGTAGCTGTTGAGGGCTTGCTTGTAAAATCCCAAATATTTGCTGCATCTAACTGATCTGACTTCTTTTCTGTAGGAGAAATTTTAGTATCCAGATCACTTTGAGGTCAAATAATAGAAATTACCCCCATTGTTTCATGTTATCAAAGAGAGATACATCTATTAAGCACCTCTTGAACACATTATTATCATGGTTTGTTTATTATATAACCTCATTTTATATGAATTTGGGATAATGATAGATAGATTGTACAGGTAATTCAATGAAAATAAAATCAAATATCAGAGACAAACTAACACTTACTTTTTTCTATTAAAACAAATATTTCTTTCAGGGTATTTGGTAGTCTTTTCTTAACATCTTCATTCTCCTAGTAAGTTCTGTAAGTTCATTCTCCTATGTAAGTTCTTAATTTAGAGCTATGTTTTTCTAGGGCTTTTTAAAAATTATTGCCAATTTTATAAATAAATAACTATTCACTAGGTCACAGAATAAAAATGAAAGTAAGTCTAGGAATTTCTAGAAGAGCAGATGCCCCATCAGGGATTCATATCAACCAACCTTGGTCCACTTCCATAAAGACACAAAGTTTTAGGTAATAATCTTAATTCCCTTTACCAAAAGCAGGGAAAGATTCAGAGCTCAAACTAATCCTTAGATAGGTCTTAAGACTGTTTTGCTTACCTGACATCAACTATAGATGGATTCTAGAAGATGTTTTAAACAAAATTACTGTCATTTAGTGGTATGAATCTAAGCCAGATAAAACCGCCTCTAAAATTATAGATTGTATCCCAATGACAATCTCAGCACTATACAAAAACCAGAAACGCTGTAATGTGGGAGATTGGAGAAAGAGCAGTTGACTGCCAATATTCACAAAATTGTGTTTCTGTTTCAATTAAAAAAGAAAAAAAGTAAAAAATTTGGCTTCCACAGTCCCAGAGAAGGCTTCAGCAGTAGAATTTCCAGAAGCAAGTATCCTTCCAGAAGCAAGTATCCTACTGTAAGGGAACTTTCTTGATTTTCTCAGTGATGCTCACATCAAAAGAAAAGATTGTGAGGGATGCTGAACCAGAATATTACAGTATTTCTTATTCTCTTTTTTCTTTTTAAAATTTTTTTGCTTTACCAAAAAATATTTAATAAACTTAATCCAAGATCAAATATTTTCCAGTTCCCTAAGGCTTTACATTTTGTTAGAAAAATTGATCCACTAAAATACTTTCAAACAGGTCTGAAAATGTGTGCCAAGTACAGCTGAAAGAGGACCAAGAATAGGTTCTGTCTCAAAGTATTTGCACTGTCCTAGTGAAAGTGTGGAGATACTATCTAAGATTGTATCTCTCTTTCCCTATCTTGAGCAAAAATTATTTCCCCTTGGTCTGATGCAAAACAGTTGAATTTTGGTGGTTTGTATTTTTTCTTACCTTTTGAACCAAGGAAGATTTTAAACCATTTGATTCCCTTCTCCCTTGTCCATGAAAGAGCTTGAATTATTCTATAGGACTTCTTCTGAGGACAGTCCTGCTGAGTAGGACTAGGAGTGTTGGTGGATGAGGGGATGGGCATGACCCAGCAGTCTGCATTTTGCAGCCCAGAAAGCCAAATGTGTCCCGGGCAGCATCAAAAGCAGCGTGGCCAGCAGGGTGAGGGAGGGGATCCTGCCCCTCTGCTCTGCTCTTGTGAAAATCCACCCACAGTGCTGTGACCATCTCTGGGATCCACAATACAACAAGGACATGGACCTGCTGGGGTGAGTTCAAGTGAAGGCCACAAAGATGATCAGAGGGCAGAAGCACCTCTCTCTCCTGTGAAGACCAAGGGAAAGAGATGGTTTGGAGTTACTGAGCATGGAAAAAAGACTTCAGAAATATTGTATTTGTGGCGTGCCCTGATGAAGGAAGGAATGATGAATCTGACTCCATGTTCTCAGAAGACTAATTTATTATTTTATGGTATTATATTATATTAAAGAATACTATACTGAACTATACTACAGAATACAGAAAGGATACTTAGAAGGCTAAAAAGATAATAATGAAAACTCATGACTCTCTCTCCAGAATCCCAACACAGCTTGGCCCCAATTGGCCAAGGAGTAAAAACAACCCACAGCAGAAACCAATTAAACAATCACCTGTTGGATAAACAATCTCCAAACTCAATCCACATGTGAGCACAACACAGGAGAAGCAAATGCGATAAGAATTGTTTTCCTTTTTCTCTGAGGCTTCTCATCTTACCAGGAGAAAAATCCTGGGTGAAGGGATTTTTCCAGAAAATGTGAATGCCACACAGAGAGACCTTACAGCAGCCTTCCAGTAAGTAAAGGGGACCTTCAAGCAAGCTGGAGAGGCACTTTTTAAATAGCATCTTTTAAATAGTGATGGGGCAAGGAGGGAATGGCTTTAAACTGAGAGAGGGTAGATTTAGATTAGACATCTAAAAAACAGAAGAAAGAAATTCTTTACTGTGAGGATGAAGAACCACTTGAACAGGTTTTCCAGGGAAGTTGTGGATACCCCATCACTGGAAGTTTTCATTCCAGGCCAGGTTTGAAGGTGCTTTGAACAAAATGGTCCAAATGAAGGTTCCCCTGTCCTTGGGAAGAGGGTTGTAACTGGGTGATCTCCTCCACCCCAAACCATGATTCAGTGATTCCTCAGGCTAAGGACTTACTAGTATCATATCTGATGGCTGCACTAAAACCCTGGACAGGAGAGGTAATCTGAATATGAGTCAGTTTAACAATCCTTGGGAGAAGTAGACCATGCTTTGAGCTCTGCTGAGAGACTATGAGCTCAGCAATCCCAAAGCTGAAATAGCTTCTAAACTGCAGGCCTCCATCCTAATATTCTCATGATCTTAGTATAATCCATCACAACTAATTATATTAACTTTCTCAATTTCATGCCATATGCTTCATTATCTCTGCAAGAGAAGTCAAGATTTCCAAAGGACAGTCTCTTCTTTAAATGTGAATATATTATATTTTTTCAATTTATTTTATCATTGTATCCTACTTATCTTATGCATTTAGTGATGCAGTCACATTACCATCATCAGATAACAAGAAAATTGGCTGTTTCTTTGTCTTCCTTTTGTAAAACTCAGTTAAACAACGTTTCCCCTTTCACAGCTGAGAACCCTGCCCAATGACACAGTTGAAGTTAAAATTAGTTGAAAGGGAGGCAGAGCTTTTGTTGGGATCTGGCTGAAAATCACTGCTTAGTGGAAGGCAAAAGTGCTCCTACGTTTTCCACAAACACTTTACAAGGCAAGGAGGAACTTAAAAGAGGAATGACAGCAAAAACTATTGGAAGATTAATGAGGATCCCTGCAGCCTGGTCTTTTATGGATCACCAGCTTTTCTTTCATCAGCTATATTTACTCAGCAAGTAAATCTACTGCTAAAAAATATGAAAAGCTCTTCCACAAGCCTGTTTAAAGGTAAGAGGCCCTAAACAAAAGAGTTAACAGCATTCTAACAACAAAGAAAGCCGTGAGGGCGGGGAGGAAGAAAAAAACCCTTAGGAAAACCTTCATCTTGTCTGTCAATTAGTCATTTTGCTATTCACTGCATTGCAGCTCCTGAACTGTCTTTTCTCACAAATGGAAAGAATGCAACACAGAGTGGTTAATAATATTACTGCATTGATCTTTTATTAAGTGATATGCTGAACCTCTTGGACTGTTATTAAAACTAAAATGTGTTTATGGCATACAGCACGTATATCTAGCCTTCTGGATCAAAGTATGTTCTGGCACTGTCACATAATAATGAGGCGAGTTGAGCTTAGAAACTCCACATTCATCAGGAGAAACAAAATTTTGTATATTATACATTTTTAATGACTTGTCTCAGTCCTGATTTTAACTTGTAATAAATTACATTTGTAACTTATTACAGCAAATGCAATTTGTAATCATACAAAATATATCATGGAAATAGCATTCTATTGACAGAATTTTCTCATGCATTTCCGTTACATTCTCGATGACATGGTGGTGATTCACATTCTATTAAAAATTATCATCTAAAACAGGCCACTCTTAATTCAGGCCAAAAGCTTCTCCTTGTGCTCTGCTCATCTGTGTTGAGACTCTCCCACATGAGAAAAGATCTGCAGACCCAGATGATCAAGTCCAGCAGGTAAACCAAACTGCTGCCAAAATTTCTGCAGAAAATTATTCTCTTTGTTACCTTTTCACTAAGCAACTAAGCAGGAGCAGGGCACGGCTCTAAACAGGGACCTGTGACCATTTATGGCTTATCCCACCCACACTTGTAACTGCAAGCAGAGGCTCAGAGCTGGAACTGCCTGGAGTGGCAGGTGGGGGACAAGGCAGCAGGAGTGGCTGCAGGAGCAGTAACTCCTTTAGGAGGGAGGAGATGCAAACAGGACTAAAGAGCAGAACATGGTCTCTTTTTTATTTATGTGCACATAGTTTTGTGTGCTTTCTGTCACATCGAAAATCTTCGTTTATATTTTGCTATGTTGTTTCACTTTTTAAATCACATTTATAGGTATTTAGCAGTATATTCCTCATAATAATGCTCAATCTATAATTACAGTTGGTTAGGGAGATTTTTTTTTTTAAACAAACCCTCTTTATTAAAATTAATGAATAAGAAAATAAACAGTTTTTACCTAAAGTATTTCTCTGAAAAGAAAAATCTGATTTAATTTTTCTAATTTCTCTTTGAAAGCAAACAAAATTCCACCACGACAAAAACCTTCAAATAGAAAAATATTTTCATTTTCTTTTGGGATTTCCTACAGGAAAATAAAAAAATACAGATTTTTCACCACAATCTACAGCTTCATTTTTACACAAAAATATCAGTCAGGTTCCTTAGGACACAGAAAATCCTGCAGACTACCAGGATATCTAGAAATCTACCACCATAAGATGATAAATACATGTTTGTGCTTAGGTCCCATGACCTGTAACAGAGGAGAGGCTATAATTTTAGTAGAAAGGAACAGATTGTGTGAGACAACCAAGCAGGCAGAATTTATACCATAACATTTTCAGGTGCATCACTTGGCTGGTGAAATTCACCTAAAAGCTGTGGCAATTTCAACATGCTCATTAAAAATGTTCAAGAGAAGGCTCAACTGGAGAATCTTCTGTATTTTCCTCAAAGGCACACCAGAGCTTCTCTCTTCACTAAACTTCAGCCTGCCTGGCACAGCACTGAACCCACAGAAGGCACAAGTGTGCATATGGGAGAAGGGTGGCAAGTCACACACTGCCTGCTGGATGTGCATTAAAATCAGCTGACACCACACTTTCCCATAAGCTGATATGCTTTCCAGTCATCCCAAAGTATCCTATAGGGCTGTTTCCATTCCAGCTCTTCTCCTAACTTCAGTCCTATTCATAGTAATAAATCCTTTAACATGCATACATGGAGGCTTTGAGTTTTAGGCTGTGAGCATGAGAAATAATACAGGTAAAGATTTAAACAAAACCCAGCACCTACTCATACAAGCAGGCTGGGGACAACACAATCCCTCAGTCTCCACGGTCATGTAATTTCTTCTGTATGTCCATAAGAAAGAAGGAATTTCTCCATCAGTGTTTTTTTATGCTCCTGCTCCTGACCCCAAAGACTTCCTATTGCATACACCAAGCACTCTGGGCCAGCCCTGACCCTCACACACTACCACTGTGTAATACACACCTTCAGCCAAGATAAGCTAATCAAAAGAGAATAATTCAAATGCAGCATATTCAAATGAACTCTGCAGTGAAAGAGAGAGCTAAAGGACCTTTTTGATAGCATTTGCATGTGAGTCATTAAGCAGATGCAATGCTTAGAATGAACATTGCTCAGTAACTCCTCTTCATTTTTTGTTGATTAGGCTATTAGTTAACAATAGTCCGCAAACATTTAGATATGTTTTGAGTAATGAATCACTGACTGCTTTTGTTAAAGTTTGGATAGAATCAATAATTTTTAGGCCAGAAGTGATGTGCTTCATCTTCATTCATGCTATGAAGTTCCAGTTGTGGCTATTGCCAGTAAGAGGCTGATTTTTTAAGTTCTACAATGGAGATTCTAGTTCATAACAGACACGGATATAATGGAATAAAGGAAAATAATCCTCATCCTCTTTTTAGAAATGTGTTGCAGGATATGGAACTTTTTAAAACAGTAATTATCTTCAAAAATAACCTTTACAGTTTTTACATATAACATCTTTCAGACTCAAAAATCATCAGCAATCACAAGTTAATATACACTTATTTATGAATGTCTATGAAAATTTACTGCTTGGCCATATTAATTCTAGTTATACCACACTAAAATGCAGAAAAGACCCACTGCATACTGCAGAAAGGCCTGTACCATATTTTAACTTTCACAGATATTCAGTAAGTTTATTTTTAAAATAAAATACCACTGTTTAAATACCTGGAAAAGAGAATATTTTTGAAAGAAAATTTAATGATATACTTATTTGTCTGTTCATTCAACTCACTTCCCTTTATACCATTTGCTTTGGTTTCACCCCTTTTAGAATTTGTTTTTATATTCTTGGAAGATAACATCATCCTTTGTAAAGTTTCTACTGTCCTCAGCATGGCCCACATTGTATAAAGACAAACAAGAAATGGGTAAAAAGGGACACACCATAACTACTTTCCACTTGAAATATTAGGTAACTTATTCTCAAATAAAGTAGAAAGATTTTTTTCTCCACAACACCTTAAGCATCACTGTCTAAATTAATCAAGCTACCAGCCTAGATTTTAACTATCATAAATACTGTTTTCTAAATAGAGTAAAACACAAGATCATGCATTTTGTTCTTCATGAATTCTGTCTTCTACACAAACAACAGGTTTGTTATTTTCAACACAATAATCATGTCATCAAAAAACTTGCCATTGTACATTGAATATCTTCCTTCCATGAACTTTGTTCCCTTTTTTCAATCTACTTATTCAAATCTAGTGTCTTGGTAATTCAGCTTGAGTTTTGGCTCTAGGGTACTGCCTCTCCTCAGCCAGACAATTTTGCCATCTAAGATGCAGTGAGAGACGTGGTTAATGGAGATGCTGTCTGGTTGTACACATGGATCACACATGCCAGCCTCTTGTTCAGTCACTGCAAAGTTCACTTGTGGTAATTGGTAGGTTCATTTGCAGCTTGATTTGCCAGGTAGCAGGCTGTGATCTTTAGTGTGTGCCTATTCCAAGGCTACTATTAAGAAAATAACTTTTCAGCAAGAGTGGATAAAAGAGTATTTTATTTTTCTCTTACTAAAGAGCACATCCAGGACAGCCAGCCAAATACTGTGTCTCTTCAGGAACACAGCCTATGCCTCCTTATAAACCAGGAATTTTTTTAGATATGTGATGTGCAGGTATCAGTGTACATCTATACACTGGTCATCCAAGGCTAGCAGCTCTAGAGGTAAAACAGTCTTTGTCAGCTTGAAGGTCTGGCCCTCTCAAGCTGGATTTCCCCATTTGTGACTGGCAAACTTCATCTTGATTACATATTTCAGTTGTGTCCAAACCAACCTCTAGCTGTCTTGTCAGTTTGAATAACCTCAAAATCTCTATCTGCACTAGTAAATAAAAGAACAGTGTGGAAGGTTGCCAAACATCAACTATTTGTGCTGTTAGAGCAGAATGTGGCCAGATCAGCTAGTACTTTCCTAAATTATTCCTGGGCATGGGCAGATGAAATTCCCCATGGGGAGCCTGGAACTGGGCAACTGATTTGGTGGCTCAAACAGTTGAGGGGTGGGGTACAGAAACTCTTCCACCAGGCCACCAGTGTGAGACAACATGCACAGACATGGCTTACCACGACAGATTTAGCCAAAGTAGGTAAAAAAACCCATGGCCAGATGCCAGGAAACAGGATGTCCCAATCGTCATCTCAAGATCATACAATTGTGCAAGAGTTTGGGTTGGAAGGGACATTTAAAGGTCATCTAGCCAAACCCCATGCTATAAGCAGAAACATCTGTAACTAAACCAGGTTGCTCAGAGCCTTATCCAACAAGATAAGGAAGGAAGATAAGGATTTCTTATCCAACAAGAAATTGAATGTTTCTAGGAATGGGGCACTTATCACCTTTCTGGACATATGTATATGGGTAGTCCTGTCTTCCAAGTATGGAACAATACAAAGGAACAACTGCACCACCTCTAACATCCTTGAGTACAGAGAATGTACTCAGAAATCTCAAAACATGGTTCTGGTCCTCTTCAAAATGCCCTTAAGAAATTCTCCCCATCTCTGTCAGACGCTTCAAAAGCCTGACAGGACATCTACCTTCCTGAGTCATAATACTGAAGAGCTGCAGCACTACTGACCTTTACACTGGTTGGACTTTCTAGCAATACTTATTTTCGCACCCTAGAGAATCAGTTCTACAGAAATAGTAGGCTCTGCTTCTAAGTCCTATAAGGTCCCCGTGGCCAAACATGTTTTGGATTAGCACACATTTGGGTGAGCTGGAAAACAGGTCTCAAATCCTTGATTGGTAATGTAATTGAAAGACATAACCTAAAAGGACTAGAAGACTGAGTAAAGAATTTCAGCAGTCCTGTTGAGACCCTATTGCAAGCTGAACTCACACTAAAATAGGTCATCCTTTCAGGGACAGAAAGGAGAAAAAGGCAAGTTCGATCTTTTATGCCATAGAATCACAGTTCTCCTGATCTATTAAATTGTGTCCTTTTTAAAAATTATACATACAAAAAACTAATGAACATAACTTCTCACTTCTGTTTCTTTTGAAGCCTACCAACTGAAAAAGGTAAAACAGATTTTCTTAAAGTTTTGTGAGGAAAGTATAATCTAATAGTGAAGAGTGTGAACAGCAAATTTCATCCCAGAGTTAATTTCTGTAGCCCATTTATAAATCTTTGAAATACAGGTTTGTAATGGAAATACTGACAGACCCTTAACAATAGTGCTGCTATAATGAGATTTGTCATTTATGATTAATTGAGGATAGTCTTAAAACATCTTTTCTAAATGCATCTTCTTTCCATCGAATTTATTCCTCATAAAGCTATATCATAAAAATCAGT